CTGTGGGTACCTTCTCTCTGGGACATAGACCACACCCTGCATTCCCTGGCAGGACTCTCCCTGCCTCCCCCTGCCTGTCTGCATCTCACTCAGCATGCCCTGCCCCTGGTGCACATATGCCATTGTTCGTTTGTGTTGTTGTGGTTGTTTTGTGGGTGGTGTTTTTGTTTGTTTGTTTGTTTGTTGGGGGGGGGAGGATTGGATTGGGGGTTAACTGATTGGGGTAGTTGATATGTCTGTTGTATTGTTCCCTTTGTTCTAAAAGGCACCCCTAGAGCTAGTGAGCAGTTCCCTTTAGTTCCTGCCTGTATGTGGGGACCCTGTGGGCTGGGAGCAGGGTTGGGCCCTGGCCTGTGGTACTTCTCCTCAATGGTCCTAGGATCCCATCCTTACATTTGCTGTAGCAACCCCATTAATCCAGGCTCCACCCCCACCCAGGACCCACCCCCATTAGTGATTTGTCCACGTCCTATGTGCTCACCTAAGCCTACCATCTTTGAAAAGAAATGAATTGCCACCTCAAGACCTATCCTTAGTGCCTCCTAACTCACAGCTCCTCCCTCTGGCTGCCCCTGGGTCTGTCACACCCAGGTGGTCTTCAGCTCACCTGTCCCTGGTGCATCCAACTCTGTTCCCGCAACACTGGGATCAGCAGCCTCTCCGAGTGCCCACACCCCATTCCTGGGTAGTGGGCCTGGGCTGCCAGTTGGCAGGTACACTCACACAGGTCCTACCTTCGATCTCACCTGGCAGAGAACACACAGGCCATGTACTTGGGCGAGGTGAAGGCCGAGCCTTGGGGACCTGGTGGAGCACCAGAAAACATGTGGGCTCTTAGCTTGAGATGCTGGGAACCCCCTGCACCTTGTGGGGTTGCAGTTTACACAACACTGTACATATTTAGTGCATATTTACTTAGTGCATACATACACACACGCATACATACATACATACATACATATCAGTAGAACCACTTCCTCCTCATCCTTTAGGTGGAGCCAGGTGGTTCAACCTGGTCTACCTAATGCCCCACCTGCCCACTCCTCTTGTCATTGGAGGCTTGTCTATTTGCAGAGGGTCAAGCCTGTTCTTCCCCTGCTTGCTGAGAAACTCAGAAACCAGGACTGTACCTGATACCCTGAGAGCAGGAGCAGGAGCACTAATGCATTTCCTGAGGTTCACATATTGTGTCCCATGTGGAATGGCCGAGTGGACCCCATGGCTGCTGGCTACAGGAACATGTATTGCTAATTAACCAAATAACTTGGACAGCAGCACTCTGGCCCTGAGTAAAGGGTGCTGGGTAGGCTCCTGTCCCTTGACCAGGTTTTAACAGCTTCTTCCTGTTGGTCTAGATGGAATGAGGCACTGCCTCCATCCCAGTCTGCAGGTCCCAGACACATGGGGAGGGGTGCTGGAAACCACATGCTCTTTTATTCTTTCTTTTTTTAAAATATATTTTATTGATTTTTCACAGAGAGGAAGGGAGAGGGATAGAGAGCTAGAAACATCGATGAGAGAAATACACCGATTAACTGCCTCCTACAATCCCCCCCCACACACACACCGGGGATGTGCCTGCAACCAATGTACATGCCCTTGACCGGAATCGAACCTGGGACCCTTGAGTCCGCAGACTGATGCTCTATCCACTGAGCCAAACTGGTTTTGGCACCACATGCTCTTTCTTGAACCCAATGAGATACAGTTGCTTTATACCATGATTTATAGTAGGAACTATCCTGGAAACAGAAAATGCCTGCCGCCTGGCTGGTGTGCCTCAGTGGTTGAGCTACAGGAACATGTATTGCTAGGTCTACCTATGAACCAGGAGGTCACTGGTTCGATTCTCAATCAGGGCACATGGCCTGGGTTTCGGTTCTATCCACAGTAGGGGGTGTGCTGGAAGCTGCTGGTCAATTATTCTCTCTCATCATTGATGTTTCTATCTCTCCTCCCTTCTTCTCTCTAATGTCAATAAAAACATACTTTTTAAAAAAAATGCTTGCAGATCAGGGTGTGGTATAAATGCCACACATCCAAGTGCAAACTTTCTGGGATTTTCAGGTACTGTGCCTGTTCACACATCTGCAGCACAGGCACCAGAAAAAAGGGCATTTTATGGGAATAGTAAACTCTCCTTAACTTGCTATCTTTGCAAATTGAGAAGAGAGGCCCAGCTGTCAATTTTAATGGCAGAGCAGGATTGCTGAGCTAGCTCCCAGCCAGCACCCCAAAAGTGAGGGCACCCCAACAGTGAGAGCAGCCCATAGGCTGGGGAGAAGGGGGAAGAGGGAAGGGTTACATCTCAGAAACAGGAGGGAAGTGTCACCTACAGACTGCAGTCTCTTTCCCCTCTGCAACAGAATTCTAAAATAATCACAAAGGATAGAAAAGGACATAATATTGTAAACAATGTTAAAAATAAAGGAAAGGCAATAAACTTACGGGTTTAAATTAAAGAGGTACTTAATGTTGTATGTTCTCAGTGTGAATTTTGGGAAATAAGGTATTTCTGAAATTAATGCTCTTGGCTTTTACTGCAAGATGTGAATTAGACCGTTAGCATAGACTCAGAGTAGGAGACACTCTACTAAGAGCCAGAATCAGTATCAAACTGGTTCTATAAGCAAATTAATAAAATAAAAGATTTGTCAATATAGGCTGAAAAGTTTTAGAAAGCACAAATAATCTAAACATGAGCTTGTAGATCAGGATTGATCTAAAAGTCACAATAAATGTCATGGGCAGCTTCGGTTATCCTGAAATCACTTGTGCTGGGAAGTTTAGTGGGGGAGGAAAAGTCTGAGAATTTTGGGGATTTCCTCATTCACAAAAGTACTAAAAAGAAACCAAGAGAAGAGAGAAAGCTTGATAAACAGTAGTCTTAGAAACATGGAAACAGCAGTCAGAACTCTCTGTAGAAATTTCTCTTGAGAGGCAGCTGGCAGAAATCCTAATATTGTTCCCTGAGGATTCACCCAGAGGAGGCAGCACGCGAGGAGACCCAGGGGTCAGGTCACCGAGAATCATGATGACTCGGTCTCAGAGGCGCTTTCACAGGCAGACCCAGAGATTGATTTATTTACTTACTTACTTAATCCTAACAATTCCTTTAAGACGGGGATGGGGACATCTGGCCCTGCCAAGTCAACCTTAGTTGGAATTTGAAATTCAATAAATCTAGGAGCTTTTTCCATAGCAACATAATTTTTATGTTGATAATTTTGTATGGCCCGCAGATATTATAAATATCCAAATGGCCCTTGGCCAAAAAAAAAAAAAAAAAAAAAAAGGTTCCCTACCCCTGTTGTAAGAAAAGAAACTGTACGTGTCACTTCGCAGCACTGTCACTAAGGTTTCAATGTGAGACAAACTGAACATATCACTTGTGAGTGAGGACAGGCACAGGTTCACCCACTGGACACAGACCTGTGATAAAGTTCAGCACCCAGTCACCATGTAAAGCAAAGCCAAGTTCTCAGAAATCCAGGATGCAAAGGTGCATTCTCACCAGTAAAACACATTTCCTGACAGCCTTGAGGCAGCACCACTTAGTGGGAAGCATGAACACTGAGCCAGCAGGACAGCAGGTCTGGGATGGCCGCTTAGGTGCAGCCTCCTACTGAAACAGGAGCTTCCCGCTGGGCTCTCCCCACTCCGCCCCTGCAAGAGGAGGAGAGAAGGGCCATTAAACATTGCTATCCTTTGCAAAACATGGTTATCAAATCCACACTGTCCAACAGGCAGCCGTGGCCACAGGTGGCTATTGAGCACTTAAAACGAGGTGAGTGTAAATTGGGATGCCCCATGGGCATAAAATGTACACTGGATTTCCAAGACATGAAAAAAGCATGGACTACCTCATAATTTTTTATATTGAATACATGCTGAAGTAATATTGTAGGTAATATTGGATTAAATAAAATTTCATCACCTTGTTTTTTTTAAAGGGTAGCCACTGGGAAATTAATAATTACACAAATGGCTGGCATTGTGTCATGTTGGGCTGTGCTGCTCTTGATGGGGGCCCAAGGGAATCTGCAGAGGCTGAGGGAACAGCCCACATGCACTCAAGTTGTAGGTGACAGGGGCCCAGCAAGGTGAGGCAGTTGGGGCTGTTCAGGCTTGGCCAACTGACAGCATGAGACCTCACCACAGAACTGTCTTTTCTGTCTTCTCTGCACCAAACCTGCATATTTGAAGTGTGTATTTTTGCAGATAACGGAACAGTGTATTATAGGTCATAACGTCTCTGTAAGTTTCAGTTGTGATTCTTCCCGGTCCACTTCTGACTGACCGCCTGAATATCAGCTGGTGCAGAGCCAGAGCGTTGAGTTGTGCATGGAGGTGTTTTAGTGACAGCTGTCCATCCACCTGGACACTGTTGGACTCCACCACTCCGCTGAACCCATGTGTCCATCATTCCCACTCCCACGCCATGTTTGCACTATCCCCTCACCTGCAGGGCCTGCCCCTGCCCACAGAGCCGAACCCATCTTCCTGGCATCCTCCCAATTAGACCCATGGTGGCACATTCTCTGTTGGGCTTGCGCCCTATAATTTCCTTGGGCTGGGAAGCCCCCAAATTCTCTGGTCTTCCTAGGCCTAGTCTTGCCAGCCCCACCCCTGCCATCTGGCTATTTCACAGATACATCTTAGTGCTATACAAGTGTCCTTGCATCATGTAAGACTCAGGTTCCGACTGCCTGGTGTGAGAGTCGGGATGGAGCGCTGTTGATTCCTCGAGAGAACCCCCCAACCCTGCTCCTCGGCCTCCTGTAGGGGTGACTTTAGGACGGAGTGCAAAAGGGGTAGCAGGTCCCCAGTAACCTGGGTAGGGTGTCGCTGCTACTTCAGCCACCTGGCTATTCCTGAGATGAAAGTACCCTGACCAGGGCAGGCCTAGCACCGGTGCCTGGCAGCTTCCACGCAAGGATTCCAGAGGAGAGGTTCCCTGATGACAGTGCTTCTGCAACGACCTCAGTCTGTCTCCCCAGATTGCAGTCATGACGCTGACGCTTTTTCCCATCCGGCTGCTGCTTGCCGCCTTCATGATGTTGCTCGCCTGGCCCTTCGCACTCGTCGCTTCCCTGGGACCCGCTGAGAGGGACCCGGAGCAGCCCCTGGCCTTGTGGCGGAAGTAAGTCCTGTCAGTGATGCTCTGATGTGTGGAGTCACAGGGTCATTTCTTTGTTCTCACAGCTTCTGTCCACCCAGTGTTTATCCTTTCCTTCCTGGGGCAGTGTGTGCCAGGGTTGTGCTCTCCAGGCTGGGACACTGCGGCTCCTGCCACACCCTGCCATGGTCTCCAGCTTCTAACAGGGTCCTTCCAGCCACATGGCTGCTATTTCCATGTCCCCCAGCCCTCAAACTCCAGTGTGGCAGCCAATAAATGATTCTCTCATCATTGATGATTGTATCTCTCCCTCTGAAATCAATGAAAATACATATATGTATATATTGTACATACATATATATGTATGTACAGGAGAACAAACTGCACACTGAACTCCTGAGAGGAACACACAATGACTTGTGCCCAAGTGTGGGACCGAGGGAGGCAAAAGGAAGCAGGTTTTGAAATAACAGGGCTCAGAGCATATGCCCTTTGGACCCATGCACAATGGGCAGCATGTTCGTGCAGTGGACAGGGAGGTGGGTCCTCCCGCTATGCACAGCTGTGCGGCTCTGAGTAGACTGAAGTTAGGTTAGGGAGCCTTTTTGCTGAATGTATGTTAGTGTCACTCATAAGTTCCTAAAATAAAAATCTTAGGTTTTGTTAATGAAAGGAAGTGCGCCCTTTCACAAAAGGCACTTACTCTAAGTTACTTTCAAAGCACAGTGTTGTAAAAACTAGTATCTTCTTGCAACACCTGACCAGCGGGCTGACACCTAAGCCAGTCCAGGCGGGCCATGGCAATGGTCATCTTGGTGCTGACACTCACTGCCCCCTGACTCATGTGGTAGAAAGAGGTGTCTTAGTTCTCTCAGGCTGCCTTAACCAAGTACCACCAGCTAGAACTAAACAACGGACATTTGTGCCTTGAGTCTGGAAGTTGGAGGCCAGGGTGCTGCATGGCTGACTTCCTGGGGAGGGTCTCCTCCTGGCTGCGTATGCCACCTTCTCCCTGTGTCCTCACAGGACAGTGTTCCAGTCTTCCTGCTTCTTCTTATAAAAACACTGATCCTATCAGATGCCAGCCCTACCCTATGATCTCATTTCACCTTATTTCAAAATATAGGAGTTTGGGGGACATGGTTCAGTCCCACGTGCTCCATGGGGGAACTATGCTCTCAGATCTGAGAAGTCCATCTTCAAAAACAGCCTGGTGCCATGTGTGCCCTGGAGACCAGGGCCTGGACTTGAACTTATTTTCAGCTTTTCTCTGCTCTCCTGGAAGCCTCCAGGGTCTTGGCTTGGGATTTCCCTGGAGAAACCCAGTGCCCCCCCCCCCCCCCTCCAGTCTGCAGCCCAGTACTGCCTCTAGACCTGCTGCTCAAGGACTGGCCCTGCTCCTGGCCAGCCTGGCCCTGCATTGAGCTTGAAGCTCCTTGCAGCTCCAATACGTGGCCCAGGCCCTTCCTGTTCTCACAGCCCCAGGATATGGCCTCAGACCTCTCCTGTGCACCATCAGCTGTCTTTGCTTCATGGGAGGTGGAACAGTAGGCAGAGTGTCCCATCAACATACAGTCCAGCTCTTACCTCTCCCCTTGTTTGGGTGCTTGCTCCCTTTTGTAGCAAAACCATTTGAAACATGCAGATCAGCGATCTCCAGGACCACATGGATCTAAAAAACCAATCTCAAAAAAGAGCCCATGGACTGGGCTCTTTCCCACTCTTCTCATGCTTGCATGTTCAGGGACCAACACCCAGGGTTCAATGTCAGGATGCGCCCTTCACCTGGACACACTGTCTCCTCAGTGTCCAGTTATCCCCCCACCTCTGTGACCCTTTACCTGCCATGTGCCCCTTCTTGTTTTGCTGGCTGAGTCTACCACTCCCTGACCTCGACTACAGTGAGTCTCTGTGCTCTCCTGGTGAGCTCGTCCAGTTCAAGGGTATCCACAACTGTCCACAGGAGGCAGGAAACTCCTCTTTGACTTGCATCCTCTCTCGTAGGGTTGTGGACTTCCTGCTCAAGGCCATCATGCGGACTATGTGGTTCATTGGCGGCTTCCACCGGGTGACCGTGAAGGGGCGGCAGGCCCTGCCCACTGAGGCAGCCATCTTCACCCTGGCACCACACTCCTCCTACTTCGATGCCATCCCCGTCACCATGACCATGTCCTCCATCGTGATGAAGGCTGAGAGCAGAGACATCCCAATATGGGGAAGTGAGTGAGGTCCTCTCCACCCGCCCGCAGTGCAGGTCACTCCCACGTGAAATAGGCCCTGGGCTTGTGTCCCTATTATCTTTCCTTTGTTGTGATTTCCTCTGTATTAGTCATTGTGGGTTTTAGTTTTCATTTGTGCCCTTAAATATAATTTGTTGAAGTACTTCTTCAAGTTCTAACACCGAGGATCCTAGAAGTCTGGGCACAGCACAGGGCTCCGTCCCACCACACTAGTTACTGTTCTCGAAACCCAGGCACAGGAGGTCCTTAGACTACATGCTAGATCACTGTGGCTTAAAACAACAGAACTGTGTGCTCTCTCATTCTGGAGCCAAAAGGCCCTCATCACATTATCTCAGGACTGAGCCCCCTATGGGACTCCGGGGGTAGGATGGGGGTGGGGGCGGCCTTCCTGCCTCTCCAGTTCCTGATGCTCAGGCGTCCCTGGGCCTGCGGTACAGTCACTCCACCTCTTTCTCCATCGTCCGAGGGCCTCTCCCTGTGTCTGTATCTCTGTGTGTCTTACAGTCCAGGGTGAGTTCACCTCAAGATCCTTACCTAGGTACATGTGCAATTTTTAAATGTCACATTCACAGATTCTGGGGGTTAGGACATAGACACATCTTTTGGGGGTTACCACCGAGCACATTCACCATTATTGTGGGGGTTGTAAGGAATCCTGGGCACTTTAGATGGGCTCTTGGGTACTTTACATGGTTCCCTCACTTCACAGATGAAAGCACCCCAGATGCCAAGCCTGGCCCAGCCCTCCTGGAGCACTGCCCATGGTGCCCCTGTAGGGTTGGCCAGCCTGTGCCAGGTTTCCATCCCATGGTTCCTCCAGCTGCTCTGCCTGGGCCCTGCCCCTACTCTCCTCCTTGCCAACCAGCTTTTGCCTTTTTTTTTTTTTTTTTTTTTTTTAAATCCTCACCAAAGATATATTTTTATTTATTTTTTTCAAGAGTGAGGAAGGGAGAGAGAGAGAGAGAAAAACATCGATTGGCTGCCTCCTGTACCCACTCTTCTTGGTGAATGAAACCCACAAACTGAGTATGTGCCCTGACTAGGAATTGAACTTGTGACCTTTGAGTGCACAGGACAAACTCTACCCAACTGTGCCATTCAGGCTACCCTCTCTGCCTTTTAAACTTCATGTGGATTCTGGAGCAGGGCTTGTCTAGGCAGAGGCAGACAGTAGTGTTCTCTCCCTCTGTGTCTGTTATTCCTTCTTATAAAACAAAAACAAAAAAGCCCAGTCACTGATTAGGGCCCACTTCAATCCAGACTACCTCCCTGTACCTTGAGTACATCTGCAAATGTCTTCTTTCTGCCTGGCCGCTGTGGCTTAGTGGTTGAGTGTTAACCCATGGACCAGGAAGTCTCAGCCAGTTTGATTCCCAGTCAGCACATATGCCTGATCCCCACCCAGTAGGGGGCATGCAGGAACAGCCGATCAATGATTCTCTCTCATCATTAATGTTTCTATCCCTCTCACCCTCTCCCTTTTCTCTGAAATCAATACATATTTTTAAAAAATATATCTTTTCAAATAAGATCACTGTCATAGGCTAGGACATCAGCCTATGTTTTTGAAGGACACAGTTCACCCCACAATAGGAGCCATGTGTCCTGAGTCCTGTGACTCTTGAGTCCATGGCCCTCATACCCTTCTTTATTTACAGTGACGGGGGCTCTCTGCTCCCTGATTAACCTCCTGTGGACACTCATTGTTACTAAGGCTTCGTGCTGTCCTCTAAATTTCCCGGAAGCTTTTGCCTTGTGCCCAGTCATGGACTCCTACCCACCCCGTGGTACAGCCCCTGGAGCTTCTAGGGGTTTCAGTCCTGCTCAGCAGAAGTGGTGTATCCCCACATGACACCTTCCCTTCCCTTTCAGCTCTGATCAAATACATACGGCCCGTCTTCGTGTCCCGATCAGACCAGGATTCTCGCAGGAGGACCGTGGAGGAAATCAAGAGACGAGCGCAGTCGAATGGCAAGTGGCCACAGGTAACCCGGCCTTGCTTGCATTTGAGTGAATTTATTCCAGAAGGTGTGAGCTTAAAGACTGAAGGGAGAAGAAGCAAAAGGGCCAGAACTTGCCTTCCATGGGGACTGGCTGTGTTTAGTTTCCTTTTATTTCTAATGAGTGTGTAAATTCAAGAATCTGCCAAATACTTTTGATTCTGAAATTTTAAAAATTAAAAGAAATAAGAAATCATTCAGACCTGCATCTCAAGTTCCCACAATCATCCCTATTGACAACAAATCTTTGTATAAGTTTTGAGTCAGAAAGACCTGCTACCCGGTCCTCGGGGTTAGCAGCACCTCATTTCTGAGCAGAGTATTCGTCTATAAGGTGCCCACTGCTTCGTGGTCATGGGCTGAGCTTCCTGAGTGCACCTGGTTCCTGACCCGGGCCATTAGGCGCAGGCCTTGGCTGCTATTAGCCGTCGAAGTGTTTGACCCAAGCTGTATTTTTCTTCTTTTAAACTGAGCCAACATTCAGAAGCTGGAAATCCCACCAGACTCTGGGTTCTGGCTGCTCAGGAAACGAGGGGTGCTGGCTCCCAGCACCTGTGCCGTGGACAGCCACTTGGAGTGGTTCCCTGACTGCCACCCCTACAAGTGCAGGCCATTCCTGCCCCTCCTTCAGCTTACCTGCCTGACCGTTGGACATGCCAGGGTTAGACCCCTGGTGGCTCATTGTCACCTGGGGACGGTCTTCCCTTCAGGGACCAGAATTGAAAACACCCACACAGGTTGTATTTCTCAGCCGTGGAGAAGGTGTTGTCTCCTGTGGATTCTGTTGGGGTTTCCACTTGCTGGCCAACACCCTCTTCCCCAGGGCCATTCCGAGTCCTTCAGCCACACGCTCTCATCTGCGTGCCCCTGTCCTCTTCTGCCTCGGACGCCTGCTCCCGTTGACAGCCTGCTCTTTGCAGGTGTGTCTGGTCCTCTGGGCAGTCAGGAGGCAGGGACCACAATTAGCATATGCAACTCCCTAGTCTAAGAAGGCACATGCTGTTGTCTACTTGTGTTGCTTCCAGATTTTAATAAATCCCATAGTTAGAGAAGAAATCAGCATAATCTTCCATAATGTGTTTCACCTTGTTCAACTGAAAATGACTAAAGTATCTAAATTATGTCAGCAGTAGGGAAATAGATTGTCAAAATTGGCACCTGTGAATTCTGAATTATGTCCCTTTATTGCTAAACTCTTTTTTTCTTTTCTTTTTTTTATTTCAAGATAATGATTTTTCCAGAGGGAACTTGTACCAATAGGACCTGCCTAATTACCTTCAAACCTGGTATGTAGCTTTTTTTTAATGTTTTTTATTGAGTCCAGAGAGAGGAAGGGAGTAGTAGGGAGGGATAGAAGCATCAGTGATGAGAATCATTGATCAGCTGCCTCCTGCACACCCTTCACTGAGGATCGAGCCCACAACCTGGGCATGTGCCCTGAACAGGAATCAAACTGTGACCTCCTGGTTCATGGGTCGGCACTCAATCACCGAGCCACACAGCCAGGCTATAGTTTTGTTAATTATTTTTTTCTCCTTGAAAAAGTGGAGGAGACCCTCACTTCCACCAGTGCTTCCAATTGTCCTTTCAAAGTGCAGCTCAGCCTGGAGACACTCGTGTCTGCTCCCTGCCAGCAGGGCTGTGACCCTGGAATTCTCTGTATTTTCCACCAGCACAGATGGGGAGGGCTTTCCAGGAAAGGGATTGCTGCTGACCAGGAAAGCCTTGCAGGAATCCTGTTTTATTTTGAGGCCAGCATGGGCCACGCAGGCACAGGACCTGCCGCCCTGGCAATAAAACAGTTCCTGTGTCCCTTTTCTCTGCAGGTGCCTTCATCCCTGGAGTTCCCGTCCAGCCAGTGATCCTGCGGTACCCAAACAAGCTGGTGAGTGTGTTCTCCTGCGGATCTGTGTTCAGGCGGAGGGCCTGGGAGTGAGAAATGCTAGGTGTTTGAAAACCCTGGTTTTCCAGTCAACCCTGCTATTCTAAATATTCCCAGATATTCACGCACAAAATCCTACTTTCATAGATCAGGGAGTGGACCTCCTCTCATGTGATCGACCCTGACATTTTCAGGTGAACATCCCCCCTCTCTGCCCAGTGTCCTCAGCAGTTGTCACTGCCTAGTTCACACTCTTGGACACATGTGTCAAACACAAGGCCCGCGGGCCAAATCCGTCCCGCCAGGCCTTGCAATGTGGCCGGCACCGCGCTGTCATCACTGCACTCCGCTGCGTTTCCATCACAATGACAGTTTATGACTGTTCAGTAAACCATTCGGCCCGCAATTTAGGCTGGATTTTAGATTTTGGCCCCTTCTCTGATTGAGTTCGACACCCCTGCTCTAGGAAATTTTTAAATTAAGAATATTGAAGTTCTGAAGGGCTGGAGGCAGTAGGAGAGAAAGGAGTAAGGTGACTTTGTGGTTCATGTGCCTTTATCTTGCCTCTGTTGTGCACAGAGGTTTTGTTTGTTCTAAGAGAACAAAATAAAAGAAGGGGTGTTTGGGTCTCAGAGCTCCCAGACAATTTTGATGGATCCCCGGCTCAGAGGCAGAGCTGGGACAAGGCCTCAGAGCAGGTTCTGGCCAGGGCCCTGCTGGCTGCGTCTCACTTCCGTAACCCCGTCTGAGGGTGTCTTCTCACCTTGATGGGCTGAGGGCCCTTGCAGCCAGGAGCCCACACACACACACACACACACACACACACACACACACACACACGTGTCCCCGCCCTGCCTGGGCCCTGGACACACGGGAGTGGTTCTCCCCGGAGGTACCTGAGGCAGATCTGCTCGTAACACGGAGCTTTCTCTCCGTTGCAGTGTCTTTATGATGGCAAAGGAAGAAACCCACCGGCCAGGACACGGTGGGCTCTGGAGTCCCTGGTATAGACGGTGCAGAATTACATATGACATCTGAGCCAGGCCTATAGGGTCTGAGATTTGCACACGGGGCCTACAGGTGTGGACAGGCTCAGTGGAGGCTCTCTGAGTGGTCTCCTAGGAAAGTATTCCAGTTAATTTAACAAATGTGACACTAATGTCAGTCAGAACTGGTCTCCACGCAGACTGACAGATAAAATTGTTCTCGCAGCACAGCTGAAACTAAAGAGGTGTGTTTGTTCGTCAGTCTCTGCAAATAAGAGAATCTGTCATTGGTGTGTAGAATTCTAGATTTTCCCGTTTTTTAAGTTTCTCCCATGAACATATTATAAGCAAGGTTTTTTTATAGGTTCCAGAGCATGCAGCTTGGGTGTCAGAAGCACCTGCTTTGCCTGTTTGTGGCCCATGTCCTGTGTTCAGCTGCATAGTCACAGCATAGCCCACTGCTAGCAGGTTTGAGCACAGACCTGCATAGAGGGGGCCAGGAACCCCCTGCCATGGGTTTTTGGAGGCTGTGAGAGGAGTGCATGGGTGTCAGGACTGCAGAAGGAAAAAGATTTCATAGGGGACCTTTGTCAGGGTAGAAACAGGCACCTGTCCTCCAATGTACTACCTAGGTGGCTGCTGTGCCTGCTGAGGCTGAGAATGGAGGTGTCAGAAATGCCCTGTGGGGCCCTGGCCTGCCACAGGAGTGCAGAAGTCATGGTTCTGCAGTGGCTTGTTCTACTCCTTCCCAATCCTGGGGCCACCTTGCTGGAGTTGGGGGTGCAGGCGGGTGTGGTGTTGAAATTTGGCTGGGTGTCTCAGGCCCTCAGGAGCAAGTCTGAGGGAGCAGATGGACAAAGAGGCTCCTTGTTGTAAATTGAGGTTGCCAGGATATTTTGGGGTGGGGGGGGGGGGGCAGGAAAAGGAGCTGGGAGGGGTCTTAGGTGGTGAGCACCCACCTTCTTCTCTGCCCCAGAGTGGATTTGAGAGGATGAGGAGCTCAGCATCTGGGGTCAGAGGAAGGTTAGAATGAAGGCAGGGAGAAGGAGGAGGAGGGCAGCAGAGGAAGTTAAGATAAGGGGAGGGAGGGAGGGGCTAATGTGGCCTTCCCAGGAATTTCTGATGCCTGACTCCCAGTCATGTTTCATCCATTCATTTCTTGCCCCCAGGACACCATCACGTGGACGTGGCAAGGCCCCGGAGCGTAAGTCAGACATTGTGCTGTCTCATTTGTTCTGTCCTCCTAGGAAAGTGCTCCAGTTAATTTAACAAATGTGAAACCTGAACACATGACCCACTACTATTTGACAGCAGTTAGGTTCCGTCTGTTGTGGAAACTGAATGTAAAAATCTGGTCTGTCCTCACACCCGGGTTCCAGGACTTAAGTTCATTGTCTTCAGCCCCATTGGGAAGACAATTGTGAGAACCTTTCTCTTCCCGCCCTGCTTCTATCAGCTCAGTCATCCTGTCCCTGGAAAAGACAGCAGACTTCCAGGGGCTGCCTTCCTCTTGTTCAGCTATTGGGGGGGGGAGGGGGACACGACACCTGTGGAACAGGGATCCAGGCACATTGGGCCTCCAGGGTGCTGCGGTTTTGGAAATGGAAGTGTGGGTGCTGAGGCCAAGCAAGAGCCCTCCCACGGCCCCCAGGCCTTGTGAAGGTATTTAGAACAGAATACTTGGGAGGTGCCATGAGGAGCAGCATGTCCGAGTGGTGGTCCTTCGTTTTTGAGGCTGGAGTGGGGGGGTAGATGGTGAGAAGCTGGGAGAAGGGCTGGAAGGGGCTCCTGGTGGCCTGGGCTTGAGGCTGTCTATGAGGCAGAAGTGGGATGTGTAAGAGTGTTACGAGGGGGGACTGTCTATCAAGGGGGTAGTGAGCGAAGGCCCAGGAATGGTATTCTGGATGGCTCCCCATTTCCAGCTTCTGCAAATAAAAATTTTTAAATGCTGGCTCCGAAGTCAGGAACTCTAGGAGCCAGGCATGGGAGTGGCATAAGCGAGGGCCTGTCCAGTTTGCGTTACCATGGGTGAGGACTGGTGGGCAAGGCTTCAGATATGGACGAATTTAATAAGAACAGTAAAGACTGCTATTTCTCTCACTGATGTATTTTAAGGTTTAGATTTAGGCTGAAGAAGGCTCAGCATCTGTCTCCTGAAGGAGAATTAACTGCCTAGTACTGCCCTCTGCAGGGCAAGGGGTTTGAAGATTTTGCTAAACAGAATCTTCTAACCAGTGCTATAAATCTATTTGTTTTTAAGGTTAGAAATCCTGTGGCTCACCCTGTGTCAGTTTCACAATCAAATTGAAATTGAGGTTTGTATAAATATAGTGCTTACACAATGTTACATTGGGGTTATAAATACATTGTATCAAGGCATTTTATAGATACAATGTTATGCTGTCTTTATAGATAAAATGTTACAGAGGTGTCTATGTAGATATAGTGTTAGTGGTATCTTGGGTTTATGTAGATACAATGTTACATTGATATCTCTATAGACACAACGTTATGTCATTTGTCTCTTAGAACCCTTGCCATTTTTCATGGTGCTTCCCAGTAGTTTTACAATAATCACTTTGTGTTTCTTGGATAATTTTTTATCTATTCAGATACAATTTTTTCAAATATATTATTATTGATTTTACACAGAGAAGAATTGAGAGGGATAGAGAGTTAGAAACGTCAACGAGAGAGAAACATCGACCAGCTGCCTCCTGCACACCCCCCACCGTGCCCTTGACCGGAATCGAACCCAGGTCCCTTCAGTCCGCAGGCCAACGCTCTATTCACTGAGCCAAACTGGTTTTGGCGAGATACAATTTTTTTAAAACAACAAGGAAGCTAACCCCATCATACACATGCAATAAATAAATTTTTTAGGTTTTTGTTTTTTTTTTGATAGTAATACTGCTGAATTCATACTGCTAAATTTGTCATACTGTCTTCCTTTCTTTGATACTTGGTCAGATCAAGTAGCCTTCCTTTAAGTTTGCATCCCACTGGATGTATCAGACAACACCCATTCTCTCATCTAAATTAAATATAGCTATATTTGTTCAACTTGTAAATTTGATCTGAGTGGATGAGCAATAGTTTATTTTCTTAAAAGGGGAATTACCAGGCTATTCCAGCACCTGAAAATTAAAGATGAGTCATATGCAACTTAAGTATTTCATGAAACAATTTACTACCTTCCAATCAATTTTACAGAGTAATACTGACTACAAATGAACCGGCTTCCTGCCAGGTTTTTTTTTTTTTTTATTAATTCAGTAGAATGTAGTAAGCCACTTAATACTCAGGGTTGAGCCAAGGGTAGCACGCTCACAGCTTAGAACATTTTATGTGGCTCGCCTGCTGGTGGCTCAGAGCACAGTGGAGCCAGGCTCTGAGAAAGACAAGTTGGGCCTGCTCTGGGCCTGCTGGTAGAAACAGCTCTATTTCAGATCTGGCTTCTTATTGTAAGCATTGAAAAGAGGCTTCGTGGCTTGTGAAATCCCTCTAAACATAATTCCTGGTGCTATTCCTCTGAGACGCTGGTGCTAATGTGAGGAACTGTTGCAATTTGTGTGGTTCTTTTCAATGTAGCGATAGGCAAAGGGTTTGGTTATGAGAATTTATAGTATTTGGGGATATTCCTGTAGTTTTAAATATTAGTGTTAAAGAAAAGGGCTCAGTGGTGATTGTTTGCCTTGTCTGCATGGTAGGACTTATTTAAAACATTGTGTAGATGTCCAAAAGCTAGTAATTGTCTTTTACGTAGAGATAATTTGTTGTGTTATCCCCAACGCAAAACTGAGTCCTTTAGAAATGAAAACACACGTCATTCTTTTATGTCTAAAGACTAAGCCCCTGTGTGAAATTACACATACAGCTGCAGCGTCGTGAGGAATGGCAAGTAGTGAGTTTTCATACACACCTGTGCATACATGTGCTCGTGGGTATGTGCATATGTACATGTACACGTGTGACCACTTCAAACATGATACTAGTGAGAAGTGCTTTGACAGATCTTAATTTTTACAGACTCACAATTGTCACTCACAGCGGCATTGGTAAGGGGGGTGTCTTGTGATGCTGTAGAAGTAATGCAGCCATCTCTGTGTGCTCAGTTCCTTCCAGTGTACAACCCTTCAGAGGAGGAAAAGAAGGACCCCACCCTGTATGCCAGCAATGTGCGACGCATCATGGCCGAGTGAGTGTGCCCTGTCTCCTCCTGGCCTCCTGACTTCCTTTCCCTAAGTATTACCCAGCACTCTGGTTTACCTGCTCTTTTCCCCCTCAGTGCTGCTACAAACAAGGAAGCCAATAGCATTAGGAAGATGGGTTCTTGCAAAAGCTAGTGAACAGTATGGATTTTGCCTATTGGACATACACTTTATGTCTCCTGTTTTTGTCAGATAGCATTTGGAAGATCCTTAAACATCAGTTAGTTTCACTCATGTCAGGTGTGCCCATAGCCACCAGTCAGCCTAGTGCCACATGTGTGGGCGCCCCAGTGTGGCCAGCAGCAGAGCTGTCAGTGAGAGCAATGGCCTGTGCAGACTTCAGCGTCTATCTGGGCTGGATTGATCTCGAAGTTTCTCTCTCCATCTACCCACGCAGTGTTTATTAATGTTCTTGCTCCATCTCACCAAGTTCAGTGTGGTAATTGTGCACCTAATCTTGTGCAGTAGCTCGTCCCACTTGCACGGCACCCGTGCCACAGTCAGGAACATGCTCACCTCCTATTGCTGGCCATTCCCAGCTTGTTCCAGGTAGTGGTAGTGTCAGCTCTTACACCTGTCCCTCTAACCACCTTCATCCCTCCCATCACGTCTTCTCCCCTCTCCTCCTCTCTCCTGTTCCAGGGCAGCAGGGGCTGCCTCTGACTCTGGCCACCTCGGTGCCTGCAGGGGGCTCAGCGGCTCTGACAGTGAGTGCCACTCGTTGGGGGTCCACGCGGCTGCAGAGGGGGTTTTAACAGTTGCTATTGCTGACCTGTGTGGCTTAGACTTCTAAGATAAAGCATTTCATTATGCACATTGCACCCCACGTTAATGCATTCTATAAGACTCCATTGGGCAAAATCCTGCATCTCACTTCAGCAAACATGAATTAACACTCAGCAAGCTGTTCTTTGTCCACAGGCTCCTCAGGAAATTGGGTGCTAGGGATAGAGTGCAGTGAAATGCTCCTCCTCTTGCCTTGGGCAACTGCCCTCCCCTCCTACCCAAACTCCCTCTTCTTCTCCCTCTCTGATTCACACCGCCACCAGGATGTGCTTGATCCTCAACTTTTGGGAAGTCAGGATGCTCAGTGACACCCTTGTTTAACCTCTTGATAAAAAAAATAATGTCCATCCATGGAATTGCAGGCTCAATAGGTTGGGTAATAAGTATTCTTCATACACACTGAAATGAATTAACTGTTAACATTTTTAAAGATATATATCCTAAAGAAACTGTCCATATTAATTCAAAGGAAGAGGACAGATAACCCAAGGGTCACCCCCTCGCCTCAGCGGCTGCAGGAGAATTTCAGTGGGATGTCGCCTCCCTCATCTCTAGTCTCACATTCAAATGTTCCTGGGAGGGGCCAGGATCCCCAGGGTATCAGCCCCTCAGCCGCCTTATTCCCCTTCCTGAGGAAAAATTCTGGCTTCTGTCTCCAAAGGATTATACCTGAGTTTGTCAAGAAGAATGTCAGAGTCACTGTTTCCTTCTCATGTGATTGCACAGTGCATTCTTTTGGCAACAGGAACTTTTATCAAATGATTGAAGCCCATTCAGTTATGAAGGTGGGGAGCTGTTTAGTTTTCTATACTAAGAAGGCTTATTTCTCATGAACCCTGATGCAGCTCTGAATGGCCAAGTTCTGACTCCCCCCAGCTTCAGGGAGGTGCCAGCTCTGATAAAAGCGATCCCAGTCACTTGTGAAGAATTGAGCTTCTCCATACAACATCCTGTGGGGTAGTGGTGTTATCTTTCAGGCCCAAATGCATGGTTGTTTCCTAATGGGGTGCAAACTTGGGCAGCCCCAAGTTTTAAGTAATTGAAATTTAGGGTCAGCTATTGGCATTTATGTTTAGTTCTAAACATGAATTTCCCACATTGCCCTTCCGTGCATCTTGGCATTCAGAGTCCTCCCTCACGTACTAATCGTGTGAGGAGGGTACCCCAGGGGCTCAGAGCAGGGTGCAGGACGCGCATGCAGCACTACCTCTGCCAGGGTGTCTGCCATTGGAGCAGACTTCAAGAGACCACAGGGGCTCCTGTGACTTGGGGCGGCCGCCATGCAGCGTGCTCACGGCAGGGCCTCCTCTCTACTGCAGGGCTCTGGGCGTCTCCGTGACCGATTATACCTTTGAGGACTGCCAGCTGGCCCTAGCGGAAGGACAGCTTCGGCTCCCTGCAGACACCTGCCTTTTGGAATTCGCCAGGCTTGTGCGGGGCCTGGGGTGAGTGCCTGGGTTTTTTTATTCTTGATCAGTTCATCAGAAAAGGAACTCCCTCAAATGCTGTGACAAGCGTTGGGGCTGTGACTTGTGACAGGGCAGGTGCGTTATGTTCAGCAGCAGTGAAGAATAGCTTTGCACTGGATCAAAAACTCTGGGCAAAACCTCGCAGGAGCCTCCACCTGCAGGTGTTGGGGACCGAGCTGGAGGTCACAGCAGCGCCTGGGGCTGCCTGATGTCACTAGAGACAGGGCATCAAGGAGAGCTCCAGTGCTTGTTCTGGAGGTCCAGTTATGCCAACTTCATATGCCAACTTCAGCTCACACTGAAGTGCCAAAAAGCCCCTCGTGGCTGGTGCCACTCTCTCTGAGCTGCCCCCAGAGGACGTCCTACCCACAGGCCACCCGCCGAGGGGTGAACATGCTTATGCAGATGCTTAAGCAGAAAGCATTGTGGGCCTTCAGGATATTAGAAGTGTGTTCTTGAAAATTAGCAGCTTGGTCTATAAATCATGTTGATAATTTGTTGGGTCTTAAAACAGTAAGCCTTCTATTTTTGGCATTCTGTGATTTTATTGGAAAACAAAAACAAAACTTTTCCTCTCTTTTTATTTAGTCTAAAACCAGAAAAACTTGAAAAAGATCTGGATAGATATGCGGAAAGTGCTGGGGTGAAGAAGGGGGCAAAGATCAACGTTTCAGAGTTTGCGGCTTACCTGGAAGTGCCCGTCTCCGACCCGCTGGCTGACATGTTCTCCCTGTTTGACGAGGTAGCACATCACCCAGTGGGGGTAGGGGTGGGGGTGAGGGTTGGAAACCTTCGACCTCAAAGTATACATTGTTTTCCTTGTAATGTAAACATTCTGTAGACAGTTTTGGAAGTAGATAAGGGAAAACCATTCCTCAGTGGCCCATCCTACCAACCTACCCTGTCCTTGGGAGTATTTTCTTTTCATGGTTTTAAATGCACAAAGAACCTGACATTTCAGTTAACATGTGCTGATAAACATGGCTGTAGTTTGGGATTCCTTAGGTCAGATCTCTAAAAGGCCAAGTGATATCACACAGCAATGCTGGCCTACCTGCTGCCATGTATCTTCTCAGAGGCCTCCACTGACCAGCCCAGCCAGGCCTTCAGAATTTTAGAACATGGCCTATTTCTGGATGCTCGGCTTAGTGGTTCCCCATTGTCTCTGTCTAAAGCTTGGGGGTCTCCCCCTGAGGAGCAGCCCTTCCCCTCTCCACCTCGAATGTCATAATCGGTCATATGTGCTGGCTGCACAGAGTCAACACATCACTGCAGCTCTGGGAATGGGGGAAGGGAGAGTGGGGGAGACGGAGAACCAGGAGGGCAGGCTGCCATGTAGCCAGAAACCAGCCATGCCTGGTCACTCTGGACATTTGTATCGCAGTTAGACCCCTGTGCAGTACATCCTATAGGAATAGTCAGCGTGGTACAGTGTGTGTGAAGGGGCTCCTTCAGCCATGAGTGTTCCCTGTGAAAAACATAGTATGTTCTGTGTGAATAATGTAGCATGTTCCATATGGACAACATTGGGTGTTCTGTGTGAACACTTCGAATTTCATGTGTGTACAACACAGCATATTCCATGTGACAATGTATATCATGTTCTGTGTGGTCACAAGGTGCAGCGTGGTGAAACCTGAAGAAGCTGGTGAGTGTCGTGGGCTCTAGAGACCCCATGAGTGTGCAGGTTTGTGGCACCACAGTGTGCAGTTGATCCGGCCCATCTGGGCGACCCCTGCCGTAAAACAGCTTGGGGTGGATTTGTGGCTACATCTCACTCGGGCGCTATGACAACAGGGTCAGGTTTGAAATACAAGAGTGAGTGTGGTTTCAGCCAGTGACATCCTGGTGACATCTGATGCGCTATCATCACTGAGCACCAGACCTCTTGTCACCATGTGTGGGTTATTCGTTTTTGTTTTTCACAATTTCTAGGGCACAGTGGTCTTTCAAGGTAGGAATATTCTCCATTTTACAGAGAGCCTCAGACCCGAGATTACATACTTTCCCAGAGTCAGGGGCATAGGCGTGGGACCCAGTGTGCTCGGCCGGTGTGGTGTCCACATCTGCTTGGGCTCCCCTTTGATTTGCACGCTCACTGTGGTCACCAGCAGGCTAGGTTTCAGAGCCCAGAAGTGAGCCTGGTTATGGGCAGGTCTGTTTTCTAGAAGGCAGGCAACAGTCATCATGCTGCACATACCTTCCTGAGCAGCTTCATGTGACAGTCACACTGAAGATCCATTCTAACAGCCTAAAGAGTGGAGAAGCCAGTGGTTAGGAGCGCTCTTCAGATGCTCTCTTCATGTAGACACCTGATCTCAAGTTGGTGTGAAAATAACCTTGTGTTGACACCCAGCAGCCAGTGTTGAACCTCAGCTCCGGGAGGTCACCAGGCTGCTCCTGACAGAGTGTCTCTTTTCGCAGAGCGGGAGCGGCGAGATGGACCCTCGAGAGTACGTGGTCGCTTTGTCTGTCGTCTGCCGGCCTGCCCAGACCCTGGACACCATACAGCTGGCCTTCAAGGCAAGTGCAGGGTTCACGTGAGTTTAATATATGGGACAGTGAGATGTGGGTTACAGGTGGAACACACCTGTAGGTGGGAGGGCGGGTCACACTCAGGGGCTCAGCACTCCCTAGGGTGGCATGCTGGTTCTGGCCATGCTGTCTGGTGGATCAGGGCCTGCTGGAGCCGCAAGGGGCGGAGGAACAGGCCATTCTGGGCAGGCAGTTGGGTTGGTGGGGCCTGAGAATGGAGGAGGGGACCTCGGGGTGACACCAGTCTTGCTTTGCAGATGTACGGGTCTCAGGAGGATGGTAGCATAGACGAGGATGCCCTGTCCAGCATCCTCAAGACGGCATTAGGGGTGGCAGAACTCACTGTGACCGACCTCTTTCGGGCAATCGACCAGGAGGAGAAGGGGAGGATCACATTTGGTGAGAAGCCTGGGAGCAGGGAGGGTGGCCCAGTGGTGACAGAAGTGAGGACACACATGGGACCCCCACCCACTTGTGCTTGCTAGGTCACTCTATCTTCTGTAACACAGAGCTTCTCAGGAGGAAGGTTCTTTCTAAAACCTGGCCAGAAGGGTGGGAGCTTTCAAATCTGATTTCTGCAGGCGATTAATAGAGCTAAATTCCAAGCCCAGTAGTCCTGGGACCAGGATGAACGCCGTCCTGGGGCTGTGGGCACATGTGCCAGGCCAGGGCAGGGCAGGGCCTCTGCCGTCAGGGTTCAGTGCAGGAGCGAGTTACCTGCCCTGAGGACTCTGCTGGACAACTCCTCTCTGGAAGGTTTGGCTTCATTACCTGTGGCTGCACAGAGCAGGGTGGCCTGATCCTCAGGAGCCAGGACCTGAAACCCACCTTTGAGCTTGGGGGCTGGGCAGTAGGATCTTGGAAGGCATTCTGCTCCGCGCACTGGTCAGCGTGCACATTTCACATTGAGGAAGCGTTCTTGCTGAAAAACTAGCAGACATTTGCTCAAGAAAGGTCATTGTGCACGTCTTGTTTGGACATGTTTTAAAATTGCATCCAAATGTCAGACACAAATGTGGGTTGGGAGGTAGGGGTGTGTGTGTGTGTGTGTGTGTGTGTGTGTGTGTGTCTGTCTGTGTGTGTGTGTGTGTGTGTGTCTGCATTAAAGTAGGCCCTGCTTCCCAGTGGATTGGGGATTGTTGATGACGTTGGTAATGAGCCTGACCAACTGTAGACTTTTCCAGTAAAAGTCATTCCAGGTTTCCTACAAGGAGACATGGATGACCCTGGAGCCTGTAGGCTCCTATACCCAAGGCCTCTGAGCATCACCTGCTCTCAGGATGCCTGAGGGTGCTCTCCACCCAACACCAGCTCTAGCCACTGGGAGATGCACAGGCAGGGAGGCATTCAGGCCCTGTGGCCAGCTTGTAGAGTGACACTCCATGCACGCATGCATGGTCTCCCCGGTGCTCAGACATCCATCAGTAGTGCTTGGCTCATGGTGTATCAGTCACCACACGGACGCTTGTCCTGTCCCTGAACCAGGTCTTGAGATGTGCAGCGCCTCCCTCACTTGCACTGAGTCCCCAGAGTGCCCAGAATTGTGTCATTTCTTTAAATTCCCCCCAAGCAGAAGTAACTGAGAGGGTGCAATGGCTGCCCCTTTGCTTTGCTGTGATTTTGTGCACAGCAGAGAAAAACTGAATGTAGGTCTTGTCCTCACCTCCAAGAACATGAACATAGACCCCACCCCTGCCAGAGGGGGGTAGGGGTTGGGGGGGAGATAGGGGGAGGAGAAGGGAGGATCATGTAGGCCCAGGGAAGAGCTTCAGACTCTAGATGTCTGCTCCCGAAGCCCCAGTAACCATGTGCCCTCGTCTCTCCAGCCGACTTCAGCAGGTTTGCAGAAACGTACCCCGACTTTGCAGAGGAGTATCTGTACCCTGACCAGCCGCCTTTCAAGAGCTGTGCACAGACGCTTCCCGCTCTCACCCCCAATGGCTTCTGTGCTGACTTCAGCCCCGAGAACTCGGATGCTGGAAGGAAGCCTGTGCGGAAGAAACTGGACTAGGACTGAGGGTGCTGGAGAGACAAGACTGCTCCCTGGCAGTCACCACCCGCCTCCACATGGCCGCTAGCCCTCTGCTGTGACCACCTCCGGGCTCCACTCTCCACGTCGGCTGCTCGGTCACTGTCCCCAGGCCCAAGTGCCAAAGGCTGGGGTGTTTCCACTTTGTTTCTCTGTGGGGCACCGGCCTGAGGGGTGCCTGTGGGGCATCTGGAAGGAAACTTTATGCTCACGACACCAGGACTCTTCACAGTGAGACTGCGTGGGGCATGTCCTGCCCACCTTGGCAGGGCTCAGGGGTCTCCCTGTGGGCAGGTCCTCGGGGTAGGTGAACACCAGGTGTGGCTTTTTTTCAAGTGTCCTGGGTTCAGATTTTCATCTCACTCTTCACGCGGCCCCCGTTGGTCAGTTCGAGGCACACGCACAGGCGGGCAGCCTCTATGCACACTCAAAAAGCAGGGCATGTGGCATGTGTTCGATTCCAGACACACCCTTTGCTGACTCTGGAGTCACAGCATGGCCGGCCTGCCAGCAGTTTTTAAACATTTCTATATTTGTGGGAGTTCATGAGTATTTTATAAACCTCATTTAGATACTACAGGAAACATTCAGCATTTTTTTTAAAAGAAGAAAGTTGTTTTTCTACTTCATTTTCCTTTGAGGGTCAGAGGATATTTATTTATAGGTTCTTTTTTGATAGACTCTGAGGCTGTCTGTGGTTTTGACTTCACTCTCTGGCCTCTCCACCAGGTCAGTTTTCCTCCTGTTTGGGTACTCCACCAGGAGTACCAGCCCAGACCTGCTATCTCCCATCCTTCATCCTTTTGAGTCCCCCCCTTTTTTTATAAACATTACCAGTTTGGTATTTCTGTTTTAATATGACATCATCTACTTCACTGTAGTGTCGGCTCCAACAGAGGCATTGAACATGGGTGGCATGAGGGAGACAGGAGGGAAGGACTGGTCCCGGCTCCTTTATCATGTTTGGCCATGCACCTCCAGCAGCCCTGGGACAGTGCGTCCTGCTCGGAGGGTGGCCATCCCTCCCCTGCTCGGGTTCTGTGGTGAGTGGACGAAGCAGCTGCCCCTGCAGACAGATGAGCTGTACAGACAGATGGACGGACGGACGGAAACTGGAGAGCAGTAGAGCCCGTGATCACCTCAGGCTGATGCCCCGTCTGTCAGGGAGACAGGCCACATAAGTCTGTCAGGGACCAGCTCCAGTCCCACCTGGGTCAGAGGAAAACAGTCTCCTGGCAGCAGAAGGGGGGACACTGGTGGTGGTGGTGTCTTTGTTCTTCCTGAAATCCCCTTCGTTCATTTGGTTAGGACAGAATTGGAACCTGTCCTTAAAGCACAATCATAACCACAGACTCCGGTTGTTGTCCTGAAGCCTCTGGGTTCCTTTGGGGGGAATTTTTTTTTTTTTTTAATTTCTAAAATTAATTGAATTTTGTATTTGGGGCATCTCTACTGAAAGTGACCACCAGGGCCAGAAGCACAGGGAAGATGTTTACTGATTTCCCGAGGCATCCATGACATGCATTTCTACCGGTAGACGCCAGGAAAACCCTTAACTCCGGTTCAGCTGTCCCCTCCCCCTGTTCCAGCTGCTCACTGCCAGCCAGAATGCACACAGGGGCGAGTGCTGAGGGCCATCGGGGCACTCGGCCTGCTGGACACCACAGAAACTCAGATGCAGCCTCGGTGGCTAACGGTGAATGATTTTATAACCACAAAATGCATATTCATTTTTTCAAAGAGAAAAAACCACCAATAACCAATGAAGGAGGTGAATAAACTAAGATGTTCTGAGGGAAGGGGCCTGAATTTGGCCTCCATCCTCCATGTCTGAGCATGAAGGGTTTTTTTGAATGAAATGCCATGGTGCGTTTTCAGGAAAAAAATCTCTGATAATCAGACTCTGAACGGATGTTTGCACCTCCTGATCCCTTTTCTCTCTCTCAGTGAATGGCATTCTGAACTGTGAATGTACATAGTGTTGGGATAAACCCCATTAGTATGAGACGAGGACACATGGGCAAGTGCAGCCCTGGCCCCTCCGCCTACAGGGCCCTGCCAGGACGTGTGGGTCCTGCTGGGATGGGGGGAGGGGTTCTGCTAGACGTGGGGCCCTGCTGGAAGGGGTGCCATGTGAAGAACTTTGGGTTTGTAATGGAATGAATAAAATGTAGTCCTACTTGAAGCTGCTCTTTGTTATGTGTAGTATTTTTTTATTTTATTAAAACATTTCTTAGGTTGTGACAGGAGAGGCAGTCAAGATGAGATTTCTAGCATGTTTGGGAAGCACGGTAATTGAAATTCTGTAGAAGCAGCTTCTGAATGGCGAAGGGGCACTGTGGAGGGGTTGGGGCAGTGATGGCATTTCCCAGAACTCAGACTTGCATAGCTGTCTCCCTGGTTCTGTAAATGCTCTATGTTGAGCATATATACCTTAAACACACTTTGCAGTCCTTCTATTAAATCAGTAAAGGATTTATAAATAGAAATAAAGCAGATAGAACTGTTGTATTACAATCCCAAACACTGCGTGAGAACATCGAGGGTGTGTGGCCACTGGCTCAGCTCAGGTAACACTCAGAGGTTTCTTCACAGAAGTGAGTGGGGAGCCACCGCTAGGAGTGATGGGAGGAGGACACTCAGGGACCACATTCACACAGCAGCCACTGTTACTTTGTGCTTGTCAGCCTTTTTAACATAACAAGTGACTCTTCTTTGAAATTGGTTAAATTATTTTAAGGAAAGGGATAAAGCAAGGACAGGATCTGGACATTTTACATCCAGAGATGGGCACAGCTTTTCAGTCTAAACAAAAGAGCACCACAGCCGTGGGCTTTGGGTGGCATGAAAGTGGGCAGAGTGGCTGAAGGTGGATGGGAATGCCTACCAGGAGCCTGCCTGTCTTGGGACCCACCTGCACATGGGCTGGTCCAGTACTGACAACAGGGCCCATCTCTGCTATTTAATATTGTCAAAAGCTGGTCAGGTTCTGATTAATTCCCTTCCATGTAATAAAAGCGTAAAAATACAAAATTTTTCTTCCAATCAAAATGAAGAGATTGGATCCACCCTCCTTTCTGGTGGAAAACTGACGGGCTTTTTTCTCAGTAATGAGGAAATCAGCAAAACACTGCCCTGGTCCCACTGAACACAGCTGCAAAGCAAGACCTAAAAGAACGGCCAGGCTGTATATCAGTAACTTACCTGCAGCCTCAAAGTCCCAGGATATTCACAGGAATGCAAAATTATTCAGCACCCTGCAAAGTAGAAGTCGCGATCCCTGGCATCCAATCCCTGGATGCTTCAACAACAAAGGCAGGAAACGATGATCTATAGTCAGTAGAAAAAGACTCAGAAATGACTCAGATGATGGAGTTAGGTGAGGTTCGTTTGTTATACAATGTCACTGTATTACCTTTTTATTAGAAAGCCAGCGAGAGACAAGATTGAATATCTTCAGTAGAGACACACGAGGTCTTTTATGGTATCAATATGAATTCTAGCATGAAAACTACAATGTTTGGAATTCCAGCATGAAAACTACAATGTTTAGAATTCCAACATGAAAACTACAATGTTTGAAATTCCAGCATGAAAACTACAATGCTTGAAATGCCAATTACGCAGGCTAAGAGTAGGGGTGGGTTTGACATCACAAGAGACTGCGAGTGGACTTAAAGGTACAGCAGTACAAACCATTCAGAACAAAATAAAGAAAAGACAAAAGTGTGAATCAAGCATCAGTTAGCTGTGGAACTTTCTCCAAGGAAAGGGGCAAACAGGAAAAAATTTAGAGAAGTACTTTTCCAAACTTGGTGCAAGCTGTGAATCCCCAGATCCAAAGAGCTCAGTGAACTCCAAGCATTGATGGAAACCACACCAGGCAAATCAATAAACAAAGGGTAAAGAGAAAATAAACCACAAGGAGACCAGACCACACTCTTTTACCAGCACCTCTCTCCCAATAACAGAACAAGTATGAAAGCTTTGTAAGGACACAGAAGACTGAAAACAATATGAGCTAAACTGACCTATTTGATGTCATACAATTGTTCACCCAAGAACAGCAGAACACGCGTTCTTTTTGATTGCATGTGATGTGATAAATGTCCTTTCTTGGGAGAGATCATCAGATACAGCAACTTGCCTTCCATGTGGACGGGTATCTCTACTGGCCACAAACCAGTGCACCCACCAAAGCCTCACCAATGGCAAGCCTTGGCCTTTTATCTTTCCTTTTTTTTTTTTTTTTTTTAATATATTTTTATTGATTTTGTACAGAGAGGAAGGGAGAGAGATAGAGAGCTAGAAACATCGATGAGAGAGAGTCATCGATCAGCTGCCTCTTGCACACCCCCTACTGGGGATGTGCCCGCAACCAAGGTACATGCCCTTGACCGGAATCGAACCCGGGATCCTTCAGTCCCCAAGCCGACGCTCTATCCATTGAGCCAAACCGGTCTTGGCTTATCTTTCCTTTTTTCAGTCTTTAGCAAGCACATGTCTTACCAATTATCTTCTTTTATTAATATATGTTATTGATTTTTTACAGAGAAGAAGGGAGAAGGAGAGAAAGAGTTAGAAACATCAATGAGAAACACCAATCCGCTGCCTCCTGCACACCCCCTACTGGGGATGTGCCCGCAACCAAGGTACATAGCCCTTGACCGGAATTGAACCTGGGACCCTTGAGTCTATAGGCCGATGCTCTATCTGCTGAGCCAAACCGGCTAGGGCTTACCAATTATCTTGATGTTTTGTACTTCTTTCCCACCAGCTTGGTGCAGCAGCATGTCCACACAGTGGGCAGATGGAATCCGAGGTGGGTGGCAGGATGACAGAGGTTTCTGGGACGAGAAATGGCAGCAGGGTGGTTGATGCAGTGCTGAGATAAGACCGCAAATGTGTGCTGCTGTCCCTGTCAGTTGAAGGGAAAGCGTCTTCTTGTCTTTCGAAACACCTGGGTGTGGGCAAGGGTGGTGGGAAAGTGGGTGTTGACTGCATCAGCCATGGCATAGATCAGGGTTCATGCTGATTTTCTCCAGTCAGAAAACCAGCAATTGAACCAGGAGCTGAGCCATGCCTCAGGTGGAGTGGGTGGTTCTGAAGAGCTCCCCAGGAGGTTGTTAGGACTGGCAGTCACCAACACACAGGACTTGGAACCTCCGGAGACTAAAGGCTCCCCTCCTCCTTCACCTTCCTAACCCCGTGTGACTGTCGTAGGCAAACTCTAACAGAGGAACACAGGGGAGGGGCTGTAGGAGACAGAACCCCCATCCTCTCCCTCAGGGTGCAGGGATCTGAGAAGTGGTGTTGGTGCTGCCAAGACAAAATATAACTCAGCCCACATGGGTCCCAGAAAAGAGGAAGGAAAGCGTTTGAGCGAGTCCCAGAGGTGCGGGGATGGGAGACACAAGGACACCATCTGGGCAGCAAGACCGGAGGGCGAGCTGTTCACATTGGAGTGGGGAGGCAGAGGCTCAAATAACAACAGTAAAAACAAGCAGAGTGCCGCCTATGCTGCAGTACATCCAGAGGAGATACACACTTCTGTTCAGAGTTTGGAGAGATGAATGGATGATTAGAACATGGAAAATTAACCAATGGAAAAAACAGGCAATTATTAACTCAAAACAAAAAAATGTCCAAGTAAGAGAATGAAATCCTAGGGCACTATAGCTCATTTTGAATAACAGAAACATTACAGTCTGGGACTGCTGTGCATTGAGTGTTTGTGCTCCCCCCAGGGTCCCACCGAGGGAGGATATATTAGGAGGTGGAGCTTAGGGAGGTGACTCCATTTAGAGGTCAAGAGAGTGCCCCTCCCCCATGGGATCAGTGTCCTTATAAGGAGAGATCAGAAGTGTGCTGACTCCCTCTCCTCTCCTACCCCCCATTTTTCTCACCTTGCCCCCACCCTCACCCTCACCCCAGGGTCTTCACTGGAACCCCAGCACGGCAGCACTCTCTTGGACTTCCAGCCTCCAGAGTGAGAGAGATAAACATCTATGGTTCGAGCTGCCCAGCCTGGGGCATTCTGTTACAGCAGCCCAAGCTGACTAAGGAACACCAGCCATTGTACAAATTATAAACAGAAAGGGATTTCATGCAGAGAATTAGGTTAACAATTGTTAGATGGTTTGGAGGGACAAAGGTGGGAGGCGTGTGGGTCTCAGCGTTGAGAAACTTTAGTGAACCCAATCTGGCCGCCTGGGCCACTTCCCCCTCAGATGCAGCAGGTGCGCCCACTAGTGGCAAACCCTGACCTGAGCCCTGCTGGCCAGGGCATTTGGGAAATGCAGCTTCGGGCCTCCAGCTCCCCTCTGGTCAGGGATGCAGTGCTGTAGAACCCAGCCACCGACGGGAAGGCCCTGAGATGCACTGGACGTGGCAGTGAGGGTTGCACTGGACTCCAAGAGCAAGACAGCAGCTGGCCTCTTGCTCACAGAGGAGCACCAGGGATGTGCCTGGTCTGCTGGTGGCTTTCCTTCACAGAGGCCCTCCTGCTGAGGGCCCGTTCCACTCCGCACCACCTCACTTCCTCCCTCATCAGGAGGGGCTGCCAAGCAGCAGAGCATGGTTTGGGGCATGTCATGTTCTGAGCTGCTCCCTCCTGAACAGGCCTGCTAAGTTTCCTCTTTAGAGTGGCATGAATTGTGCGCCCCCTCCCCCCATTCATAGGTTGAAATCCTAGCCCAGGACCTCAGAATGTGGCCTCATTTGGAGATACTTACAGAAGTGACCAAGTTAAAATGAGGGCATCAGCATGGGCCCTGATCCAATAGGACTAGGGACACTTGGAGACACACAGTTGCACCCCTGCCTGGCTTGCATTCCTGCCTGATGTTTTTTGTTCTCTCTTCGTGTTTGTGTGTTTAATACATATCTGAACTCATGAGTTCTACCCTGTGTCCCCTATTTAAAGGACAATGGTTTCCTCGATGGCCGTTTGTTTCCTGGACACTGTAGATGAAGGCCCTAACACTGATTACTCCTGTCCCAGGAAGCCTGTGCTGTTGAGCACGTGTGGGGGAGAAACAGCCTGTGTGAGGGTCACTGATGTGTACAGACAAGGTGACACATCACTATCTCCTGAAACCCCTAGTGCCACGAATTGCACTGTACACCACCCCCCAGTCCATATGTTGAATTTTAACACCCAATGCAATGGTGCTAAGAGGTGGG